CCATCGTTGTTGTTGTCGTCGTCATCATCTTTTTCATGTTCATCATCATCAGTCACTACTATTAGTTGTTGCTACTGTTGTTGCTGTGCACCTCTGTCTGTCTGTCTTTCTCTCTCTCTCTCTCTCTCTCTCTCTCTATAGAGGTATTGAAGGGCTAGAAGATTCCCTTGTATAGAGTGTACAAGCCCAGTACAGTGTTCCCACTTAGCAAACCCCACCAGTATGCCCCATAATAAATCATCATTTCCTCTCCTGACAGCCCACTGATGAAAACTGATGTGCCTTCTCTTCTTCTCTTTCTCCCACTACATTTCCATCTTCTGTTGTCCTCTCAAGGTTGAAAATGAATCAAACACCCTCCAAGATGGCTCTCTGATTGATCTGTGCGGGGCTACCCTGCTGTGGAGGACCCCCGCTGGACTGCGCCACACCCCCACCCTCAAACAGCTGGAGTCTCTTCGCCAGGAGCTGAATGCCGCCCGGCCCCAGTGTCCCGTTGGCTTCAACACCCTGGCCTTCCCCAGTCTGGCCCAGCGCGAGATCGTCGACAAGAAGCAGCCCTGGGTGTACGTCAATTGCGGCCACGTACACGGTTACCACAACTGGGGCTACCGCAAGGACAAGGGTCCCGCCGGCCCAGGGGGCACAGCCCCAGCCAGCACTGGGGAGAGGGAGTGCCCTATGTGCCGGCGAGTGGGCCCCTACGTGCCACTGTGGCTGGGCTGTGAGGGAGGATTGTACCTGGATGCCGGGCCGCCCACTCATGCTTTCTGCCCCTGCGGCCATGTATGCTCAGAAAAGACAGTGGTGGGGTGGAGCCAGATCCCGTTACCCCATGGCACCCATGCCTTCCACGCTGCCTGCCCTTTCTGTGGTACCTGGTTGACAGGGGAGCAGGGCCACATCAAACTCATCTTCCAGGGCCCTGTTGACTGAAGCTCAGACCTGAACTGATGGCAGACTGGACAGAGGTGGGCACGCTGAGTAAAGACTGTGTGCTGGAACAAAAATCTGGACACTCAAGTGTGGGATGAAAGAGAAAGCACTGATGACAAGAACAAGAAAGGGACTGCTGACATGATGCAATAGTAGACTGCAAGGCTTCAAATGGAATATGAGGTGTATGGAGAATATGTAAATAAATTGTGTTGAAATGAACACGCGTCTAGTACTCTTTTGTTCTTGTACTCACCAAGTTAATTTCTGATATCTGGGAGCAAGATGTGTCACTAAAAAGAAAGGGCCAGACACAAGACAAGGTTCGCCCTGGTAGAGCGTGCACCTTGTGTACCAAGGCTCAGTCCTTATATATATATATATATGTATATATAAATGTATATATGTATATATAGTAAGCCAAGGCTTCAAACCAGCCTATGAATCCATAAAAGTCACAGGCTAGATGAAAAGCACACCTAGCTCAAACTGATGATCCTTTAGACAACTTCTGTTATTCAGAGGCACAGTCTATCTTACCTGAGGGTCTACTATTGCTTGTAACCAGCACTTTCCCAAGGATCTGTCTCAAAGACAGATTCAAACATTTCATCCATCACATATCTGCCAATCAAAACAACAATCAAAACAACATCTTGAATCGTAACCCCTGTATGGTGATATGTATCATTATAGCAATTTTCTTGTCAATACACAGCCCTAATGCCGATACACCGATTTCTTCTGCAATAACATTTCAGGTCCACTCAAGTGGTTTAGATAATCTGGCAGAACTGTTACAGCCTATCTGACTGGCAGACTGCTCGTGTTTCTTGACCCGTCAGATTGCTATTTTAATGTAGCTGTGTTCCTAAGTCATAGAAATTAACTCAGTGAGTAAAATGTTCTTCTAACTGCTGGTCACATTGCGGAAAATAAGACCCAAAGTTGTAAAAAAGTACCTGCATAGACTCAAGATTGGAGTAGCGTGGCTGCTCCACACATGATTCCATCAACTGTTTGCCTCTGTAGTTCCACCTGGCTGTGGTAAGCTGCAGACTCCACGGAGTGTCTCTAAGCCTTGTTCCCAGTTTGCAGCGCCCCCATTGTGCTAAAAATAATTCAAGGTCACCAAGCCCCATGCCTTCCCACCAGGAGAGAAAGAGGAGAACGACAGGGCAGCTTTGTCATCAGGAGTCCACACCTAAGGAAAATGAACACTGACAATTTTCCCACAGGGACCCAACAAGGACCCCTCTGCATATTTACACATCTTCAATGTAGCAGTCAGATACAGGTGAATCTTGTACATTGGCTTGCATGTGAGCAGATATTGCTTGTGTCTTATCATGTAACATCACTGCTTACTGCAGAGTGGATGCAGAAGGCAGCTGCAATCCCACCCAGAGCTGCTGCAGGGTTTTCATACCAGAGCCAGAGCCTGAGCAATAACAGGCAATGTTCAATGTCAAACATCTCTTCATTCGCCTTTCCAGCATTTCCAGTTGACACAGTGATATGCTACCGATGATCTGCCCAGTGTGTGCACTTATACTGTAAAAAAAAACATTGTAAAAAAAGGTAATATTCCAAAATACAGTAAAATAACAGTAACAAGAGACACGTAAAAATACAGTAATTTTCTATAATTAAAATACAGTTTTTAGCCTTAATTTCACATAAAAGCTTGTGTAATGTTTTGGCCTTTAATGTTTGATTAAAGATATTTACAAAAACAATAAAATGACCTATCAATACTGCTATAATATAAATAATCAGACTTTAATTTATATTACAGTGCTGTTATTATTTAATTTTTCTTATTTTAATCTGAAATTTAAGTTATAGAACTGTAATAAAAGTCATCCTCTGTGAAATTACAGTAATTATTGCTGTTTTCACTGATAAAAACTGTATTTTGATAGTTTACCTGTGCTAATACACTGATAAAAAAACATTTATTCAAAGTTCTTGTTGTGAAAACTTCCATAATTATACAAGATATCTGTCAATTAATAAACTTAATACTTTTTTTTCACTGTTGTCAATTATTTTGTATAATTTTATTAACGTATTTTACTCTATTAAACTTGAATTTAACAGTTGAATCTATTAAATAAACAGTTTTTTTTTTTAAAGGAGATTTTCTTTAAATAAGCAGTAATTTTATGATTATTTACAGTTACATTTGTTTTTTACATTATTTTACATAATGTAAATTGACACTATTTTTACAATTTCCATGTATTTGTATAAACTACAGAAAATAATCTGTAAAATAAATGGGGAAAACTCTGTAAACTTACAGATGTTCTTTTACAGTGTATTTAAAGGTCCACAGGGAGAGTCGGGGGTAGTAATCAGGGCGGCTGCCATTTGGATAACAGGCAGCCGAGGAGATCTACAGAGTAGTTAGCCTGTGGGGACTCCAGTCGACTGCAACAGTGTTCAGAGCAAAATACCTGATATGAAACCTGAAATGAATTACGGTCCCTAGAAGACTGGGGTTCATTCCTCTAGCTCTACCATCAGGACAAAAACTTCACTCGCTCACAAGAAACATTGACATTTACTGGGAGTTCCTGGGTACATTGATGGAAGGCAGCAGCATCCCTTACTGTCTGCCACAGTGTCTTCTTTGATACTACCATTAGGAGTCACCAAAATGTCCAAATGTTACAGCTTTACTTCAAAATCAAGATGATCTTGATCAGATCTTGTTAAATTCCAAACAAAACTGTTGCTGCTGCAGCAATGAGTCCGAAAACCTGGAATTGAGTTAGCGTTTTAGCACCTCTGTTCTCTTTCCTTAAAGTCAATGGGTTTTTAAATGGTTAGAAGCCTGAATAAGGTCTGTGTTTAACACAAGCTTAAAGCTGGAGTGGATAACTTATTAATTTTCATATTTGATTAAACTTTCACTATATTTTGAATTTTGAAGCTTTTGACTGTCTTGAAACAGCCTTGTTGTGTTTAAACTCACCCTCTCATGAACTATTATAAGCGGTATGGAACAGAAGCAGCTACCTCAAAACTTAAAGGTGCTATAAGTGTTTTGTTTTTTGTTCCCTTCTTTCTGCAGTAAACAGAGAATACATTTCCTTCTTCATTTTATGAAAATATGACACAGTTCTCAAAGGCAGCCAGCAGAATGTCAGTGTGGTGACATGGGGAGGAGGGAGGGACTGCTAACTGCAATGGACAGAAAGTTAACCAAAATGCTGATTTCACTTATGGCACCTTTAATTAGATGAAATATGATCATTTGGGTCCACACCACTAGTGCTTTGTTGGCTGTGGCGCTGAGTGAATGTGTGTGAAAG